TTTTTCATGCACAATTTCCTATTAAATCAAGGACGATGAATCTTTAAATCAATTAATCTTTCCACTTTCACTGTAAGTTCCACTAGATATTAAGGCCTCCACTCAAATGGTTTGGGCCCTACACACAGACGGATTGAAATACTAGATTGAATAGTCCAGTAAATAGGAGTTGTGAAGCTTGGGACATCTCTATAAATAGATGAATATAAATAGACGTCACGTCAATGTTAAGATGTGATAAAGTTTGTGATACTAGCAGTAAAATGTGCAGCTGAAGGGCAGCTCAAGTGTTTCAGGCCCACCTTTGTGGCGTGTTAGAGGAATGACAGCAGAGGTCCAGCTGGCAGTGAGTCAGACTGGATCAGCTACTTGGCTACCAGTTGCCCTTTAAACTGTTTTTAGGCAAAAACCAAAAAACAGCGTGCTGTTATTGTAATACCTCTGTACACATTAACTCTGTAAAATGGACAAATCTCCTTCCACTGGGTAAGTGCAGAGTACATACAGCCACAGAAAGCAGTCATGAAGAGGTGCGTCTAGCAGCGAACACTTTAGAGAGGAAGTTTTGAGTTAAAGCTCATAGAGCCACACTGAGTGGAAAACACATGCTGTACGTACGTATGCTGCTTGTGCATGGAAGGCAGATGTGTTATGGTGCACAAGCTGTCAAAATAGACAATAAAGAGAACAGTTGCAGTGTTATTACATTTCCAGATTTGCACAATCAGGAGGGTGTTATGGAAAGGCTCCATTTTTACTGAAGAAGAATTTCATTTTACTTTTTAAAACTGCTTTTTTGAATTTGAATGGCCAAGTGTGGATGTTAGCTCAGTGTAAAGAAAACTAATGTGTATATATATATATATCAATGGTTTTTCTAGAAAAAAATAGCTGCTTCCAGCGCTGTTTTCGGCTGATCCGGACCCAGTTTGACTACCTGTTGGAGAGGATCGGTATCGCATTACGTGATACGTGCGTAACGCGCGTTTAGCGGACATTCACGCGAATAACTCGCTCAATTCGCGTCAATTGCGCCGCGCTAATTGTGCGAGTTGCGCCGCGGGATGTTTTCTTGGGTCTAATCGCGTTTTCACATTGACTTTACATGTAAATCATTCGCACGTCTGGTGTGAACACAGGGTTCAATCAGCA